TGATCTTTTAGTCTCTCTGTGTCACTTCAAATGAACATGCCGGCCAAGGACAACAGGCATGCTTCTTCCATCAGGGCAGAGGAGGACACATCTCATTATCCACTGACCTCCTTCAGCCGCATGGCCGAGGCACCATCAGCAGGTGAATGGGTAAAGAAATCGTAGTAATACAGATACCACAAAATAAGGAAACTTTGTCGTTTGGGGGAAAATGGATGGACCTGTAGATCCATTTCACGTTGAGTGAAATAAGCCAGACTCAGACAGACAAATACATGTTTTCCCCAGTATTCAGAATCTAAACAAGATGACAGGAAAGGGGAAAGGAGACTGTGTTTAGACAACAGGAATGAATAAAGGAGCAGAAGTAGAAGGGGGTGAGAGGGAAGAGGGGTATGAACGAAACATCCAGCTGGAACCCAGTATTTTGCAAAATTAATAGGCATTAAAAATAAGAGGGAAAAATACAAAGCTGGGCTCTGTGGCTGACTGATAGAATATAGAATACGACAGCATAGTCCTCGATCCATTTCTGGGCCTAGGCTTTAAGATGCTGGCAGTTTTCCTTCCTGTCTCCTCAGGGCTTTGCTCTGAGACTCCAGCCACACTGAGGAACCCAGGCGCAACGCACAGAGAAGTCAGAGTACGTGGACTGGACTCCTGAGTCCAGGCACCAGACGGCGGTGGGATGGAGACCAGGAAAGCAGCCTGGTGATGCCAAACTGAGCTTCAAGTCACACCCAGAGTCTCCAAAGTGACTCTGAGTCATTAAACTTCCATCTCTTCCAGCTCTGATGTGTAACTTTTACTCTAGGCTTGCACGTCAGAGCCACATAGGTAATTTTTTTAAAGTCAGAGAGAAACCCAGATCCTGCCCTCTGGATTCGAACTCAAAAGGGATGGGGAGCTCAGAGGAGATTTTTTATTCCTCAGGTGACTCTGAAGGACAGCCATAGATGACAGTCACCAACCTAAGCTGTCATCACCCCACTTTGAACACATGGCCGTCTTCACCTGCCATTCTTTGGATCCTTTCCTCTAGTCCATGGCTAGGACTGGATCATAGTCTGGGAGAGGACTGAGTCAGTTTCATCTGGTTGCTTGCTGTATAAGTCCTGGCTCTGACTTTTGGGCAAAGGCCAGCAGGCAGTGGCCAGGTGCTGGGGAGGTAGCTCTTAGATTTAGTGGCCTCCGGCATGGGGCATGGAGCAAATGGACAGCAGGCTGCCCATCTTACATATATTTTCAGCCTCACGCTGCCCTGTCTCTAGCGCACACACATTGCCTTCTTGGGGTCGACAGTCAAAGGGCACAAACAGGAAGCTCTCTCATCTCAAGCTCATCTGATGTGCACATCGCATGCTGAGCCCCATAAACAACTTGGCCTAGGCCAGGCCCTGGCAGGGAGGGTAGACGCGTAAGTGACACTGGGCTCAGACGAGCTTCCTGGGCAGGTCCAGCCTGGGGAGGTCTCCACATGGGCTTCAGATGAATCCACATGAGGCCGTGCACTCAGGGAAGATCATGCTGGTAGGGGTGGCACCGGGAAAAGTTCCAGCAGATATGATCAGCCTCAAAAGGCAACTGGGAAACTTAGTTCTCACTAAAACACACCACAGGTTGATCATGCACAGATTGATTGAAACATTTTGAGATTTGGGAGGAGAAACAGAATTTTTTCATGTGGTGTGATATTTTATGGTGATAGATTCCTTTATTCTCTGTATAAAGCAGTACTTTCTAACTTCAAGTTAAACTAGGAAAACGAGGAAGCTTCCTGCAGCTCTAGGGATGTAGGTTGCGTGTGTGCACGCGCGTGTGTGTGTGTGTGTATGTGTTGTCAGGTCTGAAAAGACATCCCAGTGCCTCCCAGCAGAGCTGATCAATGACTTTGTTGGTCTGGAGCTTTCCAGGTGGGTCTTTTTTTTTTTTTTTTTTTTTTTTTAAGTATCTCTTTTCATGATCCAGATTTCCCATCACAAACCTTTCATGGAGAACTGTGGCTGCAAATTCTTCCCAGAGACCTGATTTTGTGCACATATCAGAGCATTTTCTCCTGCAGCCTTTGGGCAGGGTCAGGCACATGGTGGCCTTTTTCATAATAATTTAGGAATCCAACACTGTGGTTTCTTGGCCAATATCAGCAATGTGAGAGTTCTCAGATGACCCCCTCATGGAGGTCTCATTACAACTGCCCAAAGAATAACCGCACCAACAGTAACAGCTAGCATTTTTTGAGTGTCTATTATGTCCTAGGCACTCATCTAAGATCTGTATGTGTGCAAACTCAGTTACTATCTACAATAATCCTGTGGGATGGAAAATAGCATTCTACACATTGTAAATTACCCTCTCCATTTGACAGTCTGGGAAATTGAGTTTTGCCAGGTGAAGTGTTTGACCACACTGTAGTCAGCTAAGGAAGAGGGACTGAGGTCAGGCCCCCTGAGTGTCTTTGATGGCACTAGAGTGCCACGGTGGGGGTTGGAACATCTCCCTGGAAGGCAGCAGCATTTTGTCGCTGTCGTTGCTTGGAACTGTCAGCACATGATACTATAAAGTAGACCAACTTTAGTCAGGTTTATTCATTTTTCATTTCCTAGTGTGCTGACTTTAGCCAACTCCATTGACCTTGTATTATTATCTTCTGCTTCCCTAAGTTTGATGAGAGTGGGGCCTATCTCATTAGCCTGGTGTTTCCTTCCCAGCCAAGCCTATTGGCACAGTCGGATGGAGAAAGGAGGAAGGAAACCAGCAGGTCCTCTAGAATCCATTTTGAGCTCCACCTCTACTGGGAAGCCCTCTCTGATTTCCTTGTTCCCTGGGCTCCCTCTATGGGCCAAGCTGGGACACTCTTGAGTTGATTTTCGAAGACTTTCTTTACTCCCAGGGTTGGCAGTGAGGCTTTTCAGCACTAAAGATTACTTCCTTGTAGCAAATTCTGCCCACATACACCACATGCGTCAGGCTGCCGTGCCCAGCTCCTTCTGCCCCACAGCCACAGCCCTGGCCCCTTCCCCTTAGAGTACACAAGGAGGGAGAGAAGCTGGTGGGCACAGGTTCTGGCTAAGCTGCTGGGAGGGTAACGGAGATGGTGGGGGAGAAAACATGTGCTGAAAAACATGGCCCAGAACTGGTTCTGCTGGGTGAGGTCACCAGGGAAAGAGGGAAAAGTGCTCACTCTGGCCCTCAGGCAGGAGTAAGGGACCTTTCATTCTATGCTGGTGGTCAGGTTTCTTTTTCCCCCTAAACCCATATTACTTTCTACCCCTGCACGGATCACTGCCAGATTAAATGCAGGGCACGGAGGGGAGTTCAATTCAGATGGTCAGGGACTTGCTGGCTCCACTGGCACAGCATGGCTATTTCCTTTTAACCGCTGTCCCCCAGGAGCTACAGCATCCTCTTGTCTGTACCTGAGGGCTGGGACTCTGGTTATTACAGACTCCTCAGCCTAGGATGATGACACCTTGGATGTGCTCAGTAAAAAATTGTTTGTTGAAAATGAACAAAACCAGCTACCTCAGTAGATGAGGGAGGAGCCCGCGGCCCTCAGCAAATGAACCTCTGCGCATGCTTGAGCCAGCGGAGCTAATTCATCTCTTCCAGGTCTACCTCCCAGGCATTGGACCCTGCTCCAGCCCTGCTCCAGCACCAGGCTGTCAGGGCTCTTGGCTCGGTTTTGAGAAGTGGGTAGCAGAGGAGCTTGGGGCAGGAGGACTGTGTGGCAGGGGAGGGGCTGGTGGCACACGATTTGTCCCATGTACTGACAGGGGGTTCTAAGCCAAACTCTAGGGTGCCATTTCCCCGGACGTGGGGAGTTTCCCAGTACAACTCTTACTTCCTCTCTGTCACTTCCAGGTCCTGGAAGCTCACAGCACTTTCTAAATGGGAAGCTGATGGCCGAGGGTGCAGACTAAATGCAGGCCTCAAATTGTCCAAACTCTACTTCCCTCCTGCTGTTCACTTCCAAGATTCTATTCCAACCCTCATCCACTCTGTGGATCTGTGGATCCCCACACAATGACTTTGCTACTTAGCCCTTGACTTGGAATCAGCCACACCTCTATAAATGGGAGGCAGGCGGTTCCGGGTCTTCAGTTTTCAGTGCCCAGAGCACATAAAGACCTGAGGAGCTTTGGCCTTTGGCCTGCTCTGTGCATAATATTGTAGAGGCTCCCTGTCTCTCTGCCTGAGTTTCCCTATCTGGGTTACGCGTGATAACATCCTTATCATGTGTCTTTCTCTGGTTTTAAGGCAACAGTTAAAATTCTAGATAGCAAATGCATCTAGATCCCCATGCTGCATTTTCCTGAAACCCAGATTCAAATACTTTGTCCCTACAGTCAGCTCTTATATTGACTCTATAGCAATAAGAGATAGCTGGGGAAGTAGGCATGACTTGTTAATTTCGAAACCCCACGACTCATGCGCAGAACAGTTCCTAAAGCCCTGCACACGGACTTCTCACGAGATTCAAGCAGGTTTGGATAGGTCAGCCTAAGCCTGGCGTCGGCTTCAGGAACAGGTGACACAGAAGGACAGTGGACTCTAGGCTCTTTGCTTCTGTGTTCTTTTGCTGTATCCCACTTTCTCTTGTAGAGCATAATTTTTCCTGTTTTTACTTGGCTCAAATTTTCTCCACAAAGCCTATACCTTTCCTATCTTTAATATATGCAAACTTTTATTACCCTTTGTGCTTTATTACCCTTTATGCAGCACAGAAAGAACCCAGAACTCAACTCTAGAAGGAGATTCTAGCAACCTGAAACCCAGTAACACTGATCTAATTTGACACAGGAAAAATGAGAGTCCTTTGAATTTTTCATTCCAGCAAAGTGCTGGGTTTTTATTTACTAATATGCAAATGAGAACTACGCTGGTCTGAACGCTGACCCGGAACAGACAATAAGTAGCTCTGCCCAGTATCCTGTCCTTCAGCCCTTGGTCCCTCGGTCTCACCCACCCCTGGGCACTGGAAAACAGAGGGGCTTACTCACCTGCACACAGCATCCACAGCACCGGCTGCATCTCTTCCTCTCTGCTCCAACCCTAGCAGTGGCGGACACTAGGCAGCCTGGGGTCTCTGCAGTTCTGCTTGTCTTGTCCACCTCTGCCCAGACTGGCCCACGGACCCGCCCTCCTCTGAACTAGCAGTGAGCTCACGTGTGGGGTTGGGCTTATGCTCCACCTATTGCTCTGAAGGTCCCAAGAGGTGTCTTCCCTACTTTCCTCAGGAGCCAGTCACCTCTCTGCCTTCTCCCTAGTTTCAGGGGTTAGCAGGTGTCAAAGTCCTGGGCCTCGCACTAGGTGTGGGCCTCTCTCATAACTGACGGAAACTGACGCATATGTAAAGGGTGGAATTCCAAGCTAGTAAAAGAAGGGTGTTGCCCTTCGAGACCCAATATGATTTGATCTACTGTCCTCCTGTTCTCAATCCCCCACACCAATGACAGGCACACGATCATGGAGAAGATAAGAAGCCCCTTCCTTCAGCGTTTATAATCCACTCAGGAACATAACAAATGCCCAAGTAAATAAAGAAGATACTCCTGGAGATAATCTGACCCTCTTGTGGCAGTCTTACAGGGACTGTCCAGGTCAGAAGTATCATGTCCTGGGAACCACGTCAATCCCAAGCAAATTGACATGCTGGCCACCCTACCTGAAGTGTGGTATATCCTGTGAGAAATGCTAGGAATAGCCACTGTTGTCAATTTTTCCACAGATATTACATTTACTAGAGTATATGTCATAACACTGTTTCTGTAAAGAGAATTTTTTTAAATTTTTCACTTAACAAAACTTCTTAGTGTCTTTATGAGGTGTAATCAAAACTGGCGAATGCTGCTGCTGAGGGCCATCCAACTGAAAGGCAGGTCCGTAAAAGCATAATGGCACATCCTCACCCACCTTACTCACCAGATCTGGCACTATGCACTTCTGGCTCTTCCCCAGAGTCATAATCCCCAAGGAAGGTGAGCCACTGAATCAAAGGAAGACATCTGGACAGCCGTGACCACACAATCAAAAGCCTTCACAAAAGAAGACTCCAAAACAGCTTCAGGAAATCAAGAATGATAGGTTAAGTGTGTTCAAATCAAGGGGAGTATTTTGAGAGGGATAAATTGCAATGTATCTGTTACTGTAATAAATTTCTAAAACCTTAAGCAGCCACCATATTTTTCAGACATACCTCATATTATACTACACAGTATTTCATTTTCTGAGTCTGGGTAACTCACTTGCCCATGTTCATATTAGATTCTTTGTCTTTAGCTTGTTGATTTCTTGCAGCTCTTTGTATATTAGGGAAACTAACTTTTGGATGTGATAAAGATTACAAATACTTCCCCCATCATTTCTTTGCATTATGAATTCAGAATTTCCACGTAAATTATTTTATCAATACTATGTGGCTACTACTAAGTTTTGACATACACAAGTTACTGTATTCTACATAGCCACCTTATTGAGTTCTTTTATTGTGAGCAATAATTTTTCAGCCCTGACATTTTATTGTACCGTTACCAAGTCTGTCTTCCTACCCTACTGCCCTGACAATATCACTTCCCTGCTCTGTCCTATCACTGGCTCTGCAGAACCTAATGAGTATAATCCATCTCCTTAAATTGGCCTTTAAGGCATTCACGCATCTTTTGTACAACACAGCCTCTCTTCCGGAATGTGCAGATCACGCTTTGACTCAGTTAGACATCTCTTTATAGCCAGAACTCTTACTACTTTCCTATCACAAAAATCAGTTCACGTTGTCCCCTCTGTGGTTCCTTCCCCTTACTGTACCAGCTGCTATAATCTATTTGTCCTTTAGAAGATGGCTTATATATCACCATTTCTTCCACGAAGCCTTTCCTGACTTTTTCCACCCAAGGGCCGTGCTCCCTCCTCTCTACTCACACAGCACACTGATTCTCTTTCAGGGACCTAACAACATTCTGTCTTCTGCTTGTGTTATTTTTGACCTGTGTCTCATTCCTCTTAATAAATGATGAGCTCATTCATTCATTCAGCCAATTTCTAAGGGTACTATTTGCTGGGCATTTTTCCATCTAGCTAAGAACAAAGATAACTTTAAGCTCTGTGACTTATTAATTTTAGTCAAGTACAGTGCCTGAGGCACAGTAAGACATCAGCAAATATTTACAAATGAGTAAACCAGAGAATGGATGGATAGAAGAATAGCTAGAGGAGTAATTACAGAATATATAGGACTAAAGGCATGAACGACAGGATTATTGGGGTTTGTTTGGATCACAGTGATGGAGACTGGAGTGTAGTGAGGCAAGGTGGCTTATGATGACATTCATGGGATTCTGTCACTCAGGCTTGCTAATCATCTGTCACCCAGGGCTCAGTGGAGTAGAGATAGGGGACGTGGAGGAGAGGAGGCACAGCTACCCAGGTTACTGAGTTTGCTGGGATAATATATTTCTGTTAAAACCAGTGTCATCCTACGTACAAGCATTGATTGCCCTTTATCACACCAACTGTTATCTATCTATCTATCTATCTATCTATCTATCTATCTACCTATCTACCTCTCCTCCCTATTATACATATTGGTATTTTTTTCCTAGGCCTCCCTAAGCTGGCAGGGGGCTGAGGTAAATTTATTTACTCCCTCTGACCTGTCAATTTAGATCGTCTTCTGGAAGGACTCAGAATAGGCAGCACTGGGTGGAGGACATGAAGAAAACTGCCAGAGGAAGCTGCCTCTTTTGGCCTCTTCATCCACGGAGGATGAGCGTCGGCCAGCTCCACCGTGGAAGGTCTGTGTCCAGTGAGCCAGGCAGGAGGGAAAGAGTTAAGGGAGGTCTGCTTCGGGACTGGGTCCTGAGGGCTGCATTCCTTCCTGCCAGAGACCTGCCAGTCTGCAGGGCCAGAGTCTAAATTTAGAGAGAGGCTAAGATTTCTTGTTAACAGCTGTCCTGCCCCTCAGAGAAGAAGCAGAGGAGAGGAGTGAGTGCCGGGTCCCTGTGTCACTGATCGGGGCCCCAGGCCTAGGGTGGATACACAGGCAGACCTGCGGTGAGTGTCTTCCCCCTCGTTTTCTCTCCAAGAGCCCCAACTCACACAGTAAGGGGTAACAGCTCTGCCCTGGGCAGTAGGGCCCTGCTGGGATGTCTGGGACCAGCTGCGGGAGACTTTGTGTGGCTTACCAGGCTGTGGAATGGCACTTGAGCCAAAGGCCTTGACTCCTGTGGCCTCCGTTAGACTCACTGAGGAAGGCTGTGCCACTGTTCCCATTCCCAAGGTGACACTATGGGCATATCCTCTCACCTAACAAAGTGCTGGAACCTGATTCCCTAACTGTCTTTCTCCTGCCATCCGACAGAGGCTGACAGGCCATCATGGCGACCAGTGGGGACCCAGAGGAGGAGCAGGTGGTTCCAGGCGAGGACGATGAAGTTGACGTGAGAGCAGTGCAGGCCCGCTACCTCCGAAGCCCTTCACCCAGCCAGTAAGTGTGACTGCCCTGCTGATCTCTTACTCCAAAGGCCCGGAGGTCAGTGGGAGGGTGCTGGGAGAATGGTGAGAGCAGCCCTGGGGACACAGAGCCACCTCCAAAGCTCAGGCATGCAGCAAGATGACTGAGTACCTCTAGGCATCCTACTTTCTGGAGGAAGCAAATAGACTAACGGCAAGATGCCATGGCAAATGCTAGATTTTAGTTCCTCTAGGTCCCAGGCAGCTATGGGCCACGACAGAAAGCGAGGGGACTTGGAAGGGCCACAGGTGGCTTCTTGAAAGTGAGGGTACTGGCAGGGCCTCAGAGGATGAAGGATTTAGCAGGTTTGCTTCTCAGGCTTGACTCTGAGGACGGAGCTGGATATGGGGTTGAGAGGCCAGGGGCCCAGAAATGGACAATAGGACCAGGTGCTTGTGAGAAAATAATTTTGTACTTATGATCAAACTGTTTCATTTAAACTAGGCCTGAACCTAGTTAAACTAGGTCTGAACCTGCCTAGCAGAAAGCAGCAAGGTGTCCAGGTATGAATAAACATCTTCCTAGAGAGTTCCTAGAGATTGTTATGGCAAACAATTCAAAACTGGCTTTTCCATTAAAACCATTGAAGGTACACAATGATGTAGAGTTACAAATTGGTGTGATTTTTAAAGAAAAACCATAAAAACAAAGAAACTCATTCTTCCTTGTCTGCCAAAACATTAGTGTGTTCCTGTGCCTGCTCTTCTGCCCTCAGTGACAGAGAGACCTGTCAGAGCTTTGTCACCAAGCTGATGTGAGGAATTCTAAGTATTCACCATTCTGTCTGACTTTGGCTTCCCTTTGTTCTCCTGGTGACTCACTGCCCCCTTCCCTTGGGGGTTAAAGGACTTCTTTGCTGGAGAAAGATGGGGGCCCAGGCACTTCACCCTAGTGGAGCTTACAGAGGTTTCCCTTAAAATTCACTTTACATTTCCACTTAGAAAAACTGCTGGGCCGGGGTGAAGCTCAGCAGCACAGTGCCTGCCTGGTAAGCTCAAGGTAGTGAGTTTGATTTCCCGTACCAAAAAAGAAAAAGAAAAACTGTCATGATTGAGAAACTTAAAGTATATCCCTCCCCTCTTGCACACCCATACTAGAGTAGAGAAAGCTCTGGCTGTGGTTGGGGGTGACATTTTGTATATTGGAATAATGTTAGCTGCCACATCAAGTAGACATTGTACTCACTGTAATAAGTTCCAAACCTGAGCAGAGATACAGGAACCAAGGCCCTTTCTGTCTTGGGGATCCACAACTTTAAAGCATGGCTTCTAATGTCACTGTGTTTATCAGCATCAAGACAGCATGGCAGAGAGTAGGGAGAATCTCCCAGGAGGTTTTCATGGCCAGACCTAAACATGGCCGCTTCCCTCCCACGTATACTCGATTGTCTAGAACTCAGCAAAACCACATTTTCTTGCAAGGGAGGATGGGAAATAAGGTCCATGGAAAGGTCCTGGCTGTCCAGGAAAGAGGATATCCATTTCTTGATACAGAGCAGTCTCAGCCATAGCACACACCTCCTGGAAGTGGATTCCCTTTATCTTTTTGTCTCTCATAGAGCACACACACGGCCTCCCAAAAGAACCCCCCCCCCCAATCCTATGTGGCATCTGCTGCTTCCGTAGTGCAGGGGCCAAGTTCTCCTGTGGGTACCTCCTCTTCCTGGTGTTCCAGCCCTGTACCAGACCAAAAAGTTTCCTTCTCACCAAAGAGGCAGGGGAGCCACAGCAGTCCTGGGACTCAGTCCTGCGATCCTATCTGCCCCACAGGTGCAGAGATGTCTGTGATTTAGTTGGGATGTGGCTCTCAGATGGAACTCTGTCATCTCTGGTTCTCTTTGGCTTCTGGCTCCTCCCTCTGGGTGACTTCCTTGCCCATTTTCCTTCACAGCCACCCCTAAAGTGGGCTGGGGGCTCCGGTCTACCTTAAAGGCTGAATAACTTCTGCAGACTATGCCTTTGCTCAAGGAAATTTGTGGACTCCAGGCTTGTTTTATTTACTTATTTTTACTTTTTTTAGGAATGAAGCTCATGTCTATGTGTTTGCCAGGCAGGTGCTATACTGCTGAGCTACATCCCCAGCCCATCCGGGGTTGTTTTAAAGCTTACACCACCCACAGACTTTATGTGTGCATGGTGGGGGGACAGCAGGGAAGTGGCAGGAGGGGTTACTAGGAATCAAGCCGTCACATGGGACTACAGCCCCAGACACCAGTCTCTTTCATTACTTTTGAGACAGCATCTCGATAAATTGCCCAGACTGGGCTCAACTTCTTATCTTGTGCCTCAGCCTCCCAGAGGCTACCACATCCAGCACCCAAAGGCTTTTTAAAACTCTTAGTTTCTTTAAAAATATGATCTTCAAAAATTTGATTTTCTTCAAAAATTCATAGATTTCTTATCTTTGTAAACCACGCACAATCTCCACACTGAAGTTCTTACTTAGATATAGTTTTTAACTCTGATGCTTGTCTTTCTTTCTTGCCTCCGCTTGATAGCAGTTATCTTTAAAGGTTATCTGAAACTGTAAACTTAGGTGAGAAGTCCAGAAATTTGCAATTTCTTGTGTAATTGTTAGAAATATTTACAATAGAATCTATAACATAGCTAAACATAGAATAGCTAAACATAGCTATAACATAGAATCTAATCCATAGCTAAAAAGGAAAAAAGTAAGTAAAATGCAATCAAACTTTCAACAAAGAAAGAAAGAATAGAAAAAGAATACTGAGAAAGCATAACAAATAAAAAAGTAGGATAGAAAGTTTAAAGCTAAATAGGTAAAACTTACATTAACTTAAACAGACTGTTCCAATTAAAAGACAAAGATGGTGAGACTCAAATATCTTTCTTTTTTTTTGAGACTATGTAGTGCAGGCTGGCTTTGAACTTAACATGTAACCCAGGCTGGCCTCAAATTTATGCAATCTTCCTGTTTCAGCCCCTTGAGTACAGGGATTACAGGCATGCATTGCCACGACTGGCCAGACTTAATATTTTAGAAGTCTACGTATTATTTACAAGAGATATACCATAAAAATATACAAAGATCTATGAAGGAAAGAGAATTTATGCTGCTGGTCCAGTTACTATTGCTCATAATTTCACAGTTTAGTGTCATAAAACAACCATTTTAGTGTCATAAAACAACCATGTTGGCACTTAGGCCCCTGGGCCAGCACAGTGGGGTTAGCTGGGCTTCTAAGTTACCCGAGGCTGGTGCTGGAGGGATCTGATGGCTGCAGATCACTGTGGGGCAGAGGCCAACTCAACAGTGGGGTTTGCTGCCTCAGAGGTGTCTTCTTTTGGGCAGCTAGTGCTGTGAGTCACCTGGGCTCAGCCAGAGCTGCTAACATGGTCTTTCCATGCACTCGTCCAGTGTGGACTGGGCTTGGCTTTCTCAAAGCATGGTTGCTAAATTCCACAAGTTTCACCTAAAAAGACAAGACCAAAATGCACTGATTTTTCATGAGCTAGCCACAAATGTCACTCAGTGTGATGCCTTCTGTGCCCCGCCATCACGAAGTCTCGCAGAGAGTCCTCAAGACCCCAGCATCCCAACAGGGGAATATCAAGGTCGCATTGTGAGGGTAGAGGCAGGACAGAAAATACTGTGACTGCCCTTGAAAAACACACAAGTTTCTGTACTTAGAAATACAAACGAAAACAAGCCAGTGAAGCTATATGGAGAGCAGGCAAAGAAGATTTTAAGGTTTCCTAGAGCTAAAGAGGGACACTCCACAGGGATCAAAGGTTCAATTCACCAGGAAGATATTTATGCTAAATATATGTAAATATAAGAACTTCAAAATTTATAAAGCAAAAAAATCGACAGAACTGAAGAAAAAAATTAAAGCCCACAACCTTAGTCAAATGTGCATTTAACAGAACTATCTCATATTTTGATAGAATGAGGCAAAAAAAAAAAAAAACACGTCAGAACACAGGAAGTTTGAACAATACAATGAATAAAACTAACCTCATTGACATTTTTTGAACATGTACCCAGCAACTGTAGGACATACATTCTTAGCACAGGAACATGGAATATTTACCAAAATACACTGGGCTAACAATACATCAACAGATTTCTTTAGACCATAGAAAAAATTAGGGTAAAAATTAGTAAGAATAGAAAAAAAAGTAAATAAGAATAAGAAAAAAAACAGTAAGATTCCAACCACAACTCAATACAACTTCATAGTCACTGAAATATGTAAACTTGCAGATACTAGCAGTGCTAGAAGAGATGTAAAGTGATCAGAACTCCCATTCATGGCCAATGAGAGCGTACAACCATTGCAATAATTTCACTGTCTCTGCTAAAGCTGAACTCACAGCTGTCCTCTGAGCCAGTCGGATCACTCCTGATACAGTGAGCACCTATAAGCCCATGTGCATACCAGAAGATGAGTGCCAAACTGTTTTAGCAGTTAACAGTCATCAAGGATATGGATATTCCAGCAACAGGATGAGCTGACCAATTCACGCTGGCCAGATAAAGTCTGGTGAATATTTTTAAAAATACCGCCCTAAGGAACATGGATTTTGTTAACTGTCACAGAACGCAAGGATTGCCTAACGGGGGTGTCCTGGTATCATTCAGTCCTCAGCCCTCCCAGCAGCCAGTCCCCCTCCCTAGGCAAAAATGGCTCAGCCTGAGGGATTCACAGGTGCAGTGGGCAGAGTGTCCTTAAGGCGGGGCCCCCATGCAGAGCAAAATTTTTCCTCTCGGTTCTTGTGACACTGCAGCCTCCAGTGGGTTCTGACATCCCTCCTGGCTTGTGTGCATTCTTTAACAATTGCTGTCTAGAAGCAGATCAGCCAGTCTTCAGAAATCTTCAAGGAAGGTCTGCAGGTGGTGACCCTCCATTGGCTGCCTCTTCCCATAATGTCATCATGAAATCTGAAGCATGGGGACTGCACAGGGACTTGAAATATCACCCGATCAATCCCACTTAGTTACATAGAACT